TTTATTTTTATTTATTAAGTCTAAATTCCTTGGAGGTAAGGTGGAGTAATAGATTACGGTTCGGCTTCAGGAATCGGAGAGCCGAGTTCGAACTTTATTTTTATTTATTACGGTTCGGCTTAGGAATCGGAGAGCTGAGTTCGAACTTTATTTTTATTTATTAAGTCTAAATTCTTTGGAGGTAAGGTGGAGTAATAGATTACGGTTCGGCTTCAGGAATCGGAGAGCCGAGTTCGAACTTTTTTTATTTATTAAGTCTAAATTCCTTGGAGGTAAGGTGGAGTAATAGATTACGGTTCGGCTTCAGGAATCGGAGAGCCGAGTTCGAACTTTATTTTTATTTATTAAGTCTAAATTCCTTGGAGGTAAGGTGGAGTAATAGATTACGGTTCGGCTTCAGGAATCGGAGAGCCGAGTTCGAACTTTCTTTTTATTTATTAAGTTAAATTCCTTGGAGGTAAGGTGGAGTAATAGACGGTTCGGCTTCAGGAATCGGAGAGCCGAGTTCGAACTTTTTTTTTATTAAGTCTAAATTCCTTGGAGGTAAGGTGGAGTAATAGATTACGGTTCGGCTTCAGGAATCGGAGAGCCGAGTTCGAACTTTCTTTTTATTTATTAAGTCTAAATTCCTTGGAGGTAAGGTGGAGTAATAGATTACGGTTCGGCTTCAGGAATCGGAGAGCCGAGTTCGAACTTTCTTTTTATTTATTAAGTCTAAATTCCTTGGAGGTAAGGTGGAGTAATAGATTACGGTTCGGCTTCAGGAATCGGAGAGCCGAGTTCGAACTTTTTTTTTTTTTATTTATTAAGTCTAAATTACGGTTCGGCTTTGGAGGTATTCCTTGGAGGTGGAGTAATAGATTACGGTTCGGCTTCAGGAATCGGAGAGCTGAGTTCGAACTTTTTTTTATTTATTAAGTCTAAATTCCTTTGGAGGTAAGGTGGAGTAATAGATTACGGTTCGGCTTCAGGAATCGGAGAGCCGAGTTCGAACTTTCTTTTTATTTATTAAGTCTAAATTCCTTGGAGGTATGGTGGAGTAATAGATTACGGTTCGGCTTCAGGAATCGGAGAGCCGAGTTCGAACTTTATTTTTATTTATTAAGTCTAAATTCCTTGGAGGTATGGTGGAGTAATAGATTACGGTTCGGCTTCAGGAATCGGAGAGCCGAGTTCGAACTTTATTTATTTTATTTATTAAGTCTTCAGGAAAATTCTTTCTTTTTTATTTGGAGGTAAGGTGGAGTAATAGATTACGGTTCGGCTTCAGGAATCGGAGAGCCGAGTTCGAACTTTCTTTTTTATTTATTAAGTCTAAATTCCTTGGAGGTAAGGTGGAGTAATAGATTACGGTTCGGCTTCAGGAATCGGAGAGCTGAGTTCGAACTTTCTTTTTATTTATTAAGTCTAAATTCTTGGAGGTAAGGTGGAGTAATAGATTACGGTTCGGCTTCAGGAATCGGAGAGCCGAGTTCGAACTTTCTTTTTATTTATTAAGTCTAAATTCCTTGGAGGTATGGTGGAGTAATAGATTACGGTTCGGCTTCAGGAATCGGAGAGCCGAGTTCGAACTTTCTTTTTATTTATTAAGTCTAAATTCCTTGGAGGTAAGGTGGAGTAATAGATTACGGTTCTGAGGCTTCTTTTATTTATTAAGGAATCGGAGAGCCGAGTTCGAACTTTCTTTTTATTTATTAAGTCTAAATTCCTTGGAGGTAAGGTGGAGTAATAGATTACGGTTCGGCTTCAGGAATCGGAGAGTCGAGTTCGAAGTTCAATTTATCAACATTTACTTTGCTAATACCCTTGGATAAGGTATGAATCCATCTCTTCTACTCTCCATCCCCGCCGGCTGTGAGTAAATAGCAAAACCGGTCTTGAAGGAGAAAAACCTGAAAAAAAAAAACAGCTTGGAGAGGGTTAAACTCCGTCAGGCTATCTTGCCCAAGACACACTACTTCTAAATAGGTATTGTTGGTAATTTTACTATAAATATGTAACGTTGGTAATTTTCTTTATATAAAAATGTATTTGAATACTTTCATAGTGTCATCTTTTGTTTTTGAGATTCACCATTTGCACATATATGGGACCCTAACAGATACTATCATCCCTGTCCAGGGTGAACCTGGGAACAACAGTACTTAAGAGGTGGTTCCACGCTCCTCAAAATCTCCAATTTCCCAAATAGATGCTTTGCTGCCGGATGTTGTTTATCGTCATACCCAAGAATAATTACAATTGGTTTTCCCAAAACGCAAATTACTTGTGGCTAAGCCTAATATTTTCTAAATAATTTACCCTCTCCCTATCCAGAAATAATTCACAGTGCATTATAATCAAACATTGATTGGATGGGGTCGGAAAGAATGACCAAATTTATTGAAATAAACCTCAGCTCAAGGCTGTTTTTTTTATGAATACGGAAGCACATCACGGTCATTATTGAATTATCTCTCAATTTTAATTATTTTCTTTTCGGATATGTGATTATGTGTGAAAGTGTTTTGTTTTATATATAAATGTATATTTTGCTTCACAACATGATGACAAAATCGGAAGCAGTTGTTGCTTTTAGTGGCATCGAAAGATGCAACATTTTGTTTGGGTTTTTTTTTGTTTTTTTTGGTGGTAAAGTCAAGTTACTGGTGAGTGCTGAAACATGTTTTCAAAAAGCTTTCTTTTTAGTGATAAAGTAACTCTTCCTTACACCCCATATTGAAATGGAAGTTAGAACAATATATTCAGAAATCTATAGTCATTCTCGATATTTTTAAAATCATTTCACCCCATTCAAGGATACTCTAGGACTCTAGGTTGCAGGGAGTGGAAGAGGTAGTAAGGATTTTAGTGAGGAGAAGCAATGAGAGGACAATAACGGAATAGTGTACAGGAAGTTAATAGGTGGCGTTTGACGCTGCATTTATATTTTAGAAGATTGTAGTTGTCAGGGAAGCAAGAAATCAGAAGTTCCACAGGCGACTAAAAGATACGGTTATCTTTAGCCAGATCAACATCGAAACGGTGAGAGCTAGTTGCCAATCTCGTAGTACGCTTAAATTAATACAGTCGAGACACTAAGGCAAAAAGTTCATCAGAACGGTTGCCCTGAAAATATTTGTAGAAAACGTAGAGGAAAGTCACATCACGTCGGTGAAAAAGTGACTGAAGTCGAGATGACAGACCAGTGTTGGTTACATTACAGAGTATTACACTGTGTTATTCATGAAACCACTTATTTCAAAATACGAATCAAGATTGCTGGGTAAAAAAATCGTTGTGGATAGGGAGAGGAAAGTTTAGTAGATGATTTCTTACGTACGCGATCTCAAACTTATCGGGAATCTTCTTCCTTTCTTTCTTTCTTTCTTTCTTTCTTTCTTTCTTTCTTTCTTGACACTTTACAGGTTTCTTTGTAACTCGTTAGTACTAATTAGCGTACGTTTCTGTAGACGGTGTAGTGTCATACACAATGAGGAGATAGTTTTCAAACCAACCTTGATATATTCCAGATAAAACACGTGAAAAGATAGATTTGATGCTTCATATTTTAAGACGATCGCATATGTACGAGGTCTGGTCAAAAAGTGTCGGAACTGTTGCTATGGTAACGCAGTTGAAGTACGCTTGGCACATACTATGAACTCTGTCGCGTAGACACAGTTAGTTATAACTTTCTCGCTTGCTTCCATTGTTTATGACAGTGCCTGGAAGGAAAGTGTGTAGAGTGTGGTCATCTTACCACATCACTGAAGTACTATGGCTTGTGCAGAAATCTTGGGACAAGGACAGCATTCCCCTTGGCCCAACAATCACCATATTCCCCAGATCTCGCCCCTTGTGATTTTGTTTTCTTCAAAAATCAAATCTCACTTGAAAGGACCCAAATTTCAAGACGTCAAGGAAATCCAAGAGGATGCGATAAGAAAGCTGGTAAGTATCCCACAAAAGTAGTTCCAGGAATGCTTCCGTCAATAAAACGTGCAAACTGCACAAAGTGCGTGACTTCAGAAGTGGACTACTTTGAAGGAGATTAAATGCCGAATTGATATGTGTTGTAGTTTTCTTTTTACAGCACAAGTCCTGATACATTTGGATCAGACCATCTATGTGGATGTGGATGTATATTTAGGTGAATCTTAATGATGAAGGTACCGATGTTTCATCATTTGTAAGGTACTTTCTAATGAGGAAGACTGTTTATCTGGTGCTGACACTACTACATAAAATTCCCATCTAATTGAAGTGTCGTTATTTCCCTTGTTTTTTCTCAAATGCATTTAATCCTCTGAGGATGAATTTGGAGAATAAGTGAAAAAATCTCATCTATCCTGACACTGATTAATTTTAGTGGCATTCGCCATTTTCAGACCTTTCACATGTATAAGACTTTTTATTTATTTTTGCACTCTACATAGAAACTATTTTAAATTCCTCAAATTTTCTTCAATTAAATTATTTGTTTGTTTTTTAAGTGTAGATTTTTTTTCCGAAAAAGTAGCTTGTCGATGTTACCAAAACACAAAACTTCATTAAACATATCATTTGCAATTTTTTTAACCATTATTTCTAAAAATTGGTAAAATCCTGGTTGACAATGTATAATCATCATCAAACATGTCACACAAAAAAAATTAGGTGAATGTTTAATTTATTGTTTTGTTTATTACGGATTATCAACTTTTTATAGACTATTTAAAACTAGAAAATGTTTTTACACTGTCATTATTATGGGCGGATAACAAGGTTTTACGTATACATGTCCTACTAATTAACCACAGCTGGTGTGAGAAGAGGTAGATTTAGACATTCCCCATGGGTATTTACACGAAATTGAATCCGACTGGAATTGAAACTCAAAGCTCTGTTCTAGTATACCCAAGCGGTCACCCATCAAGGAACTGACCAGGTTCGTCATTGCTCAACTTCGGTGATTGTACGGGAACCGTTGTTTTAACTTGGTGGCCGTAATCCCATTACATTACCAGCGCATCCAAGCTTATAGCACCTGGTATTCCCAAGAGGTCACCCATCGAAGTACTGACCAGGTCCGACATTGCTCAACTTCGTTGATTGTACGGGAATCGTTGTTTTAACTTGGTGGCTGTAAGCCCATTACATTACCAGCGCATCCAAGCTTATAGCACCTGGTATTCCCAAGAGGTCACCCATCGAAGTACTGACCAGGTCCGACATTGCTCAACTTCGGTGATTGTACGGGAATCGTTGTTTTAACTTGGTGGCTGTAAGCCCATTACATTACCAGCGCATCCAAGCTTATAGCACCTGGTATTCCCAAGAGGTCACCCATCGAAGTACTGACCAGGTTCGTCATTGCTCAACTTCGGTGATTGTACGGGAACCGTTGTTTTAACTTGGTGGCCGTAAGCCCATTACATTTCCAGCGCATCCAAGCTAATAGCACCTGATATTCCCAAGCGGTCACCCATCGAGGTACTGACCAGACACGAAAAATAGAGTTTTGCCTCCATGTCTGGAGCTACGTTGTCTGAACATTCCAGACTTGATAGAATCCAAAAGCCTTTCTGCGGCCTTGTGGATGATTAATTATTGAAACATCGGTAATCATTTCCTTCTTTGGTTTACTTCTTAATTCAGAATTTTCTTTCTCCTAAGTTAGTTACCACCTACAAGCAAGAGAGCCCAGTCAACACTGCAATTTAACCAATATGTCGGAAGCGAAGAGACGTGATAGATTCATATTTTTCGCAAGGGTATTTATGCGAAAGTGAACGAAACGAACTCGGGTGGATTTCGAACTCGATTCAACAATTTTCACTTCCTCTGTCGCAAGCCGTTACATTCCAAGCGTATCATATTATAATGACACTATTACTAAAATGAGTACGAATACTGAGGACTAAATTAATGATTCCCAATTCAAAAGATATCCACGCTCTAATTGCTTTTATTTGACCAGTACTGAGTTTTTCAGTTACAACGTTGGGGATGAGCGATGACGTTTATCTCAGAAAAATAACTGATTGTTACGTTACAGTAACATCACTATGACGTCACATACACCTCAATCAAAATACAACGTCTCTGTAACGTCGCAAATACGTTCACTTTAAACAGGGTCGCTAAACCTCATTAGAAAAGCCTGCTGATGTAATGGGTTTAGATACCGATGACCCGACAGCGAACATAAAAGTTTATTTTTTTTTCATTTTTTTTTTAGAGTTGCTTATTAATATATAATTGTATAATTCATTTATATTCTGAGCAAGGGCCAAGTTCATCCATCTCATTCAATGTCTAATAATGTATTGAATAAAATCACAATCTAATATTACTTGACTTATTCTAGGGTATCTATATACTTTATATCATATTCTTCTCAAAAATTACGCCAGCACAGATGGATAAGAAAAAGTTTATCTTAGTCTGTCTCTTGTTCCATTTTCTGACCATGCTCCGTGTGCCTACCACTTCTACTAGCTAACTTTCCTTGCACTTTGTCCCCCGTCGGATGTCTGTGCTGCCGCCTTTCCTACAGGTGTGGAATGTTTTCCTAGGGAAATCTACCATGTCGAGATACAGCAATGAACAGAGTATCAAGAACGGAAATGCACTTGATCGGAAAGCAGCGACTAAATCCCGCTTCATAACTTCCTCCGGGCCACTCTTTCTCTCGCCAAACCGGTGTAGCAATAATCTCATTACATCACCGCTTGACGCCCCAATAAAACCGAACAGAAATAGAACGATTAGCTGGCACTGGGAAGAAGCCTTAAGCGGGGAGTTGGCTGAGTATCTCTGGCAAGCGACGATGGGGTTATAAATAGATCGACTTGGGAAAAAGTCTATAAAACATCAGAGTTACAACGATTTCTCTTCGTTGTATACCTGTCGAGGTTTTTTTTTCGAATATCGCTTATGTAATTATTTAGTCGGCATATTATTAGGAGGGTGATAATCTTATCAGTGTATAAGGAAAAGAAATCTTTTCTAAAATACCTGTATTATCATACAGCTATATTTAAGAACACACCTGGATACGCGTTTATTTAGCGATTAATATTGCGAAAAATGATCTTACCACGTCACAAGCGTAGATAATAAAAAAAACATCTGGGGGCGATCCAAATTCGGGTAATGTTTAGGGAAGCTAATTTGATTAAGCATTACTGTTGAATAGAGAGTTCGACCTGCAATGAGCGCCCAATATTTGTGGCCTTGTGTAAAAATAAGCTGAGTTAATTACAACTCTTCGCTTGCAAGAGCAAGCAAGAAAAATTGTAAATATTAAAAAAAGAAGCACCATCCAAATATTGGAGGCCCGTCATTCATGGACGCTACTTTAACCACTTCAGGTATAAAAGCTTCGATTTAACAAATCTATAATCATTCTGTTACTACTTATTCTCTTATTCTCTTATTCTCTATGCCATAATAAGCTAGTGATTCAAGCGACGTCCAAGAAAGACGAACTTCCGAATTAAGCGATGCTAATCTAAGTCACACTGGAAACTGATTTGTTTTTTACATATTTCTGATTTCTGCCTAATTGCTCTAATGGTCGTAGAGTACAGCGACCTGGTGTTTTGTCATACAAGGCAGAAAAGCTGGTAAAAATATAGTAAAACAAAGAATAATGTTAATTTCTGTCTGAATTTGTGGGATAAGGATTTATCATTATTTACGCTATTTATATTCAGACTATTGTCCTCATCTTTGTTGTTATTATTACCTGATTGCCATCTGTCTGGATTTCTGATATCATGAGTTATCATTATTTACACTATTTATATTTGGACTACTGTCCTCATCTTTGTTGTTATTATCACCTGATTGTCTTCTGTCTGGATTTCTGGGATAAGGGGTTTTCATTATTTGCACTATTTATATTTGGATTACTGTCCTCATCTTTATTGTTATTATCACCTAATTGCAATCTCTCTGGATTTCTGGGATAAGGAATTATCATTATTTACACTATTTATATTCGGGATTTGGTCCTCATCTTTGTTATATAATGAATTCATGTGCACTCAGGTCATGACTTTTCTATGTTCTTGTGTCATAAATCTATGCATTTTTGTTCAAAAGTAATGAAAAAAGCATTAATTTGTTTTAGTTCTTCAACAAGGTCACCACAAAACCGAAAATTCAATTTTACCATATACGTAAAAAGGCTAAATAATCAAAATATTTCAGAAACTATATTTTTCAATTTCATGTAATTATATAGTACTTGTATTTTTAACGCATTTAACAGTTTATAGATATAAGTCATCCCATAAATTCTGTCCGAATTTTAACTTTTTGTTAAAATGAACGAAATTTAAAGAGTATTTTATAATGTCTAATGGAGCTGAACATTATTTTTATGTTTTGATGCATTTAAACTGATCAAATTTTATTTCAAAGAACAATAAAATTAAATTTTGTTTGATTAAAACCCTGCTAACATGGAAGTACCCAAGAATCATTTGAGGCACATAATGCTTTATGAGTTCAAGAAAGGAAACTCAGCAGCCGAAGCGGCTAGAAACATTCACTCAGTTTATGGAGAGGAATGTGTGAATGAAAGAACTTGCAGAAGATGGTTTGCAAAATTCAGAGGTGGAGATTTCACCCTTGAAGATGAAGATCGAACCGGACGTCCAGTTGAGTTTGATAAAAGCTTCTTGAAGCAGCCCTTGAAGAAAATCCTGCTTTATCAGTTGAGGAATTGGCAGTGGTTCTCAGTTCAAACCATAAACTGTTCATTGTCATCTTCAACAACTTGGAAAAGTTCCTAGACTTGGAAAATGGGTGCCTCATGAATTGTCTGAAAACAACCTCAAATCCCGAGTTGACATCTGCTCTTCTCTCCATTCTCGCCAACTTGTTTCACCTTTTTTGGATAGACTTGTGACTGGCGACGAATGGATCTTTTATCGAAATATTAAGCGTCGTAGACAGTGGCTTGGTAAAGGGGAAGGACCCCAGCCACAGCCGAGAAGGGTACTTCATGGGCAAAAGGTTCTTCTTTTAATCTGGTGGGATCGCCGAGGAATAATCCACTTTGAATTCTTACCACCTAATGCAACAATTAATGCTCAAATATACTGTCAGCAATTAGAGCGATTGAACCAAGTTTTGAGGAAAAAAAGACCTGCTCTAGTGAATCGAAAAGAGGTGATGTTTCATCGGGACAATGCGCGACCCCACACAGCAAGAATCACGTCACGCTGGTTGGGAGAAAATTCCTTATCCACCTTATTCTCTCGATCTTGCTCCTTCAGACTACCATTTGTTTCGTAGCTTACAGAATCATTTGGAAGTAACAATTTTTGTAACACAGGAAGAGGTTAAAACTGACATTTGTGAGTTCTTCGAATCAAAGTCAAAAGAATTTTACAGTAATGGAATTAGTTTACTTGTTAATAGATGGAAGGAAGCCATAGATAATTAGGGAAAATACATTGTTGATTGAAACTGTAATTAAATGTAACATTTGGTCACTTGTTTTCTTTATTCAAAATTCGGACAGAACTTATGGGATGACCTGATAGTATAACATACACACTTCTAGAAGGTACCATAAGGCTCTAGAAGGTTCCATAAGGCTCTAGAAGGTTCCATAAAATTTTAGTATGCTCCAGGAAGTCATAGTACTATTGTACTTATATACGATTTTAGAAATTTCATCTTGGGGCTGACATTTTTAAAAAAATATTCTACAATATGTTATAGCCGTAAAGTACACACACAAAAAGTGCTTTCCTTTGAGTTGCATTCTAGCCTTTTATGAGGTGTCAATTTTTCGTATATAAAATAAGCAGAGTAGGTGATTTTCCGTAAAAGGCCAAAACGTGTAGGTTTAGACGGAAATAAAACTCGCTAAGCTGTAGTAAAAATCAGCGAGACCAGCTTGTTAACAATCGCACGACGAGTAATGAAAGTTCTAGAAATGGGCGCGGTCAGAAATACGAAACGCCTGGATTAGATTGAACGGACTTTGCTAAGCGTTAACAGGTACATTTTCATAAATCATTGCCTCTCTTCTAAGACTTATTTCCCTCTTTAATTTATATGCCTTCACAGTTTCAGAACTACCACCTCACCGCAATGCGATGGCTAACAAG